GAGAGAGAGAGAGAGAGAGAGAGAGAGAGAAAGAGAGAGAGACGATGGACAATAGATGTTTGACAGGAAAGAAAGATTGAACCACACCAGAGCACATGTCAAGGCCATGTCTTATACTAATTTGGTATAAACGTACTATAGTGTTACCAAAAAGAAAAAAAAGAGAGAGACAAGGAAGATAGATGTTCTATACGAAAGAAGGATCAAACCACATCAGTGCACCCTCCTCCAACCACCCACATCTTACACTAAGCAGTCGGTATGAACATTGGGCTTTGGGGGGGGGGGGTGTCTTAATTTTAAAACTTTTTTCAAACGCTAGTTGGTATCCACACATCCATTCCCCCTCTCACCTTCTCGATGTCGTCCTCGTCCACCTCGATGATGTCCCCCGACTCCAGCTTGACGCGCACCCGGCCTTCGGCCAGCCCGCCGGAGCTGTCAGACTTGAGCAGGAACACCTCCGAGAAGCCCCCGCGGTGGATAAGCCACACCTTCTCCGCCTCAAGCCACGCCTTCTCCGTCTTGACGTCATCTTCGGAGCGAGTCTGTGGGAGGAGTCAAAGAGAGAAAGAAGAAATTCATGATGAGTATGGTGGTAATAGAAAGCTTGATCGTTTTTTAAAATAAAAATAAAGAGAAGCACATTCATACAATAATGGTCATTTAATGCTGGGGAAAAAGTAAGACGGAGGGAAACAAAAGAGGAAAAGTAAAAAAAACCAGGACCTACCAAGGCCCCAACCACCTGCAATAGACAGCTTTGAAGTTTTAAATATTTTTCAGAAAGAGTTTTACGACACTTGCAACACAATTAGGTCATATAAGTGCCGAAGATTAGAGGTGTTACAAGAGAGTAACAAACACAAAAAAGAAAGAGGAGAGATAAGGACGATAGATGTTTGATAGGAAAGAAGGAACAAACCACACCAGAGAAACCGCCAACCACCCATCAAAAAACCCCTTAACAACTGTGTCTATACAACAACGCCAGCGACCCTCCCGAAACGCGCTGGAACCAGTGCACAGCAGAGGGAGGTACAACCACTGGCACAGACCTGCAAGCCTTTGATAAATGTTTACATGCCATGCCAAGTTTTAGGTGGTTCTAAGGGTAAGCGAGAGTTTTACGGCGCTTATAACACAAAAAAGTCATATAGTGCCGAAAATAGCAGGTGTTACTAGAAAGTAACAAACAAACAAAACAAAAAAAAAGAAAGAGGACTCCCTTTACAATCCATCTGAACAAGCACACTTGCAAACAGATAAGTAGAAACTAGAGTACACACAAAATACAAATAAACGAGAAATACAAATTGAAAGACAGGAGAGGGACGGGGTGGAAGAGAAGAAGAACGAAGGGAAGAGGGAGATAGAAAGAGAGAGAGAGAGAGAGAGAGAGAGAGAGAGAGAGAG